AATTAAATCGCTGAATTATTCAAACTCAAATTAAGTCCTGAATTATTCAAACTAAGTGGTGACAAATTATTCAAAGTCAAGCCACTTTATTCCCTCCCATACTTCACCCGTAATTTGATTAGGGATATTTGGAAGTCCCTAAAACGAGAACACTCCACAAACAGTGAAAAACCTACAAACATCCAATCCCTTCCAGATTTACTCAAAAACAAGCTACATGCGAATCTAGCATCTCAGCAAGGTTAAGTGCCAAATTACCACCAAGGGGATCCGTTTTTCCATCCAACAATGAAACCCCAAAAACAGAAACTAAAAGTTAAACGAACGTTAGCTCGATTGATAGTTGGCGACCACCAGAGCGTGAAGCGACGATTCGGGATTTGATTTAAACCGGATCGCTGTGCATTCGTCAGTTTCTTGAATTTCATCGATTCCTCGAAGCCAGAGGCACGCTCCCAGAACAATCCTTCCCATGTTGGGAAATATGTCCCCTGAAAAGAATGCGATGCGCCAAATATGTTACTTAAAACTGCAAAAATTCAGGTTGATGATTATTTCCAGTTCATTTCCATTCTATTTCCAGACTTTAGGCTCCGTAAAACACAGCCTTAGAGCAAAAAAACTTTTTCAATACAACTGGCAGCGTTTACAAATTTTATGGGCAGCAAAAATTAGTCGGCGGTATTGGTTGATCAGAAAAATGACAGCTCGCTTGGTGCCTAAAGAAATGTCGCAAGTACGGGATCTTTAACAGAACGGCTACTTTGACTCGAGGCTCAATGAAAATCAAATAACTGGCTTTGGTATGTTATAAATTGACCATGATTTATCATGATTTTTTTTAACGGTTTTTCAGACAGTACATATGGGCAAGCGCTCATAGCAAAAGCATTGATGTTCCTTTCCATCAGAGAAAGTTGCAGAAAAAAGTAGGACAAATTTCAGCAAACTATGCACACCAATAACACCGAAACATAAAAACAGATTTATGCGTTTTTGCATATTTATGCAGATGCAAAAGACGAATATTATTTATTTTTTGGCTTTGGGCGCTCAGCAGCGCTCTGTTTTCGCTACAGCGACATAAGGTTACAGAAATCAGCAATGTTGCTCAGGAACAATCGGTAGGGGAAACTGAAAATGACGCAAAGTTACCCGGAACAGTGTATGCTCGAGGATGCCTTCAACGCCGCCCAATGCTTGGATCATATCGGTACGATAATTATTCAAATTCCATAGTTTACCATCGTGGCGCTGATGAGTCCACCAAAATGGATTTTGTTTTAGAATCTGAAAAATATGAAAAATTGATAAAAATGAATGGATATCCAATAAAATGAACGGATATCCAAAAAAAAGGAAAAACTTTTCTTTTTTTTCCCAAATCTTTTTTTTTTTTACTTCTCATGTTACCGAAAGATTGGGAAACAGTCAGTGAAGTACAGAAGACGCAACTGGACGTCTTAGTGTGCCAGTGAGAGAGCATCTTTTAGGAGGACTTTTATGATGATTTCAAGCAAAAATCGAAAAAAATGAGTACCTGGTAAGTTTTGAATTCGGTCCTCACACGCCATCCTTTGTCATAAGCCAGAGTATGCCGGTCTTTTTGGAAAAGCGTGTTTATTCGCGGGATGCCACGATCCCAACTATCATCCAAATCTTCAAGTGTTAAACGACGGTTTTGTGCGTTGGCTTCCTGTCGTTTCAGCGCATACTCGGCCCAGACTCGTTGCGAATCAATGAATTCAAATTCCCAGGGCTGAAGAATACGAACAAATCCGAAAGCGGATTACTTAGTATAAAACAGGTCCCCATAAAAAAAGACTGGAGAATTAAGACAAAAAAAACACCAAATATCAGAAATTTTCATTGCTGCAAAAGGAAGAAGGAGCGAGTAACAAGGAAGTGACGTTGGAGGCTAAACCCCCTCCGCCTTGTCCGGCTGCCCTTCGGTTTCCTGTAATATGTAAATGCCCCGTCTCCCGGCTCGAGTTCCCCCCTCCGTGATATTTAATGTGATGACTGAAAATGAAATTGTTAGTATAATTGTTTGTTTTGCGCGATCTGGAAATACGCGGCAGCAGCCTGGAGCTGCTGCCGGGCGGGTCCCGGGCTAGTTGGTTTTCTTTTTCCTAATTGTTTTTCTTTTATGTGATTGAACTAATAAAGAAGTGAGTCCTTGTTGCTTGGTGCTGCATTTCCCCGCCAGGCAGCTCCCCCCCCCCCCTCAGCTCCAGCTCCTCCT